TGATGTTTGAAAGCAAAAATAAGCCTAATTTGTTAAATAATAAGTAATAAAAATGAAATAAGTAAATGAATAACAAAGAGTAAGTAATGAATGGATTATTTTGTTGCTACTACACGTAACATTTATCGAAATTAATTGAAAAATTGAATAATTCATTCTTATAGTTTTTTTTTTTGAGAAAATATATGAGTGTAAAACAGGGTTCAGATAAGTACCACAAATTCAGAAGAGTACCACTGTTGTAAAGAAGAAAAGAAATCAAAAGTGCAAATTGAATTCATTCGTGTACTTTAGACTTTTGTATTTCATCTAGCAAAACAGACTACACGCAAATAATGTCATACATTTAAATACCGAATATTTCCATCCATTTTAAATGTGTATATTTTATAAAGATTTTTTAACGCTATAATAATCTAACCTAAATAATCGCATTATGAATCGATTTTGAAATGAAATATAATGAAATGAAAAGGTTTAAAAATACTGTTTGAAATGAGATAAACGAAATAATGAAACAGCTGTTCAAATATTTACAAATTTTGTTGAATAGCTTAATCCGTTAATGGACTTAACGTAATTTTAGAGCAATTTAGTATTAGTATTTTGTAGACAATCAAATATAACAACATAACAACAACATTTTGGATGTGATTTTGTTATCATTTACGAGAGTGATGTGATCATTTTGTCACTTACTTACAAATTTATCACAATTGAATAGTTTGAATGAAATTGCATATATGTTTAAAATATTTAACTGGACATTCATTTTAGTGTTCAGAAAATTCTTCAAAAGTCTAGAAACAGAGAGAAGTCGAGAATGATACTGACAATCATATGATAAAAGATTGCAAAATGATTCCATTAATGATAAGCGATAAGCGATGTAAGTAGGCCAGTTATGTGTAACGACAAGTTGTGGTAAAATCATTTAGGTCATCATGATAGGAAAGATGCATTCTACACAGCACTAATCAATCATCAATTCTGTAAAAGTAGAAAGAAATTGCAAAAATATCAAAAGTTGGGAGGAGCATTAACTAAAGGTGTTCTATTCAGAAAAAAAAAAATTAAGAATTAAAATGAAGAAATTGTATGAACGGTAGAAGTCATTACCCTGAAAATTGAAAATCGATTATTTTTGTTTGTAGAAATATTTTTGTTTCATAGAACAAGTTCCAGAATACATAAAAAGCAGAAAATATATCACTAAAAAGAAATTGCTACCAAATCTATCCTTCTGATCAATCAGTTATATTTGATGGTTCCTTGGTTAAATCACTTTACCGGATAACTAAAAGGTAACAACTGTCGATCCTATCATTTATTTACAATGATCAATATGGAGCATTTGTAATAAAGATAAATTCTTTTTTCACTTCTTGTTTTGTTTTTTTTTCTCTTTTCTTTTTATCTTTTAAAATTTAAAGTTGAAATTGATTAAAATGAAAAAAAAAATAGATTTATTGTGAGAAGTCGAAATATACGATAAAAATTAAATCATATATTCGTCAACTTATTTAATTTCAAAAAAATAGCAAAATTTAATTGTTAAATTATATTTAATGATGATATAAAGTTTGTCAGCTAATAATATTCAGAAGAAGCAAATGTTTAATTACATATTCATTAAGGTAGGAAGATAAAATTTATGTTGGACAGTGTTGGATAAGAATTTAATTCTCTTCCACATTGTTCACATTATTATGGAAGAGTGGTAATGCTAAAAGCTAATTTTCGTAAACTGTAAACATTATCATTTATCAGTATAATACTTAGCTTAACAGATCTAATCTAACCATCTATTCAGGATATCATTACTCCGATAGAGTGTGTATGACATAATCAAGTACGAGAATTTAGTTATAGCAAAAAAAAAACTTTTCAATAAATTCTATCAATAAAAAATTTTTGAAATTTTGTATAAAAATTAAAGCATAGATTTTATTTCATTACTGTAAACATCAAATGTTGAAGTGGGAAAAAGGCAGTGAAGGAAGAGAAGAAAAAGAAACAAAGAAATTTCCAAATATCGGCATAGAAATGAGAAGATTGTGTGCAATTTTTTTTCCCGATATAATCACCAATCATGATGTTATCAAAAACAAAAGATGAAGTGTGATAACTGAAATTTAAAAAATTTGATATATCAATTAAGAGATATCATCCTATTATTTCCATTCTTGAATTTAATTCTTTTTCTATAAAAATTTCATTACTATATCAATTCGCTGCAATATTTTCACTTTTTTTTAAATGGTTGAACTTTAAAATAACACCAAACTTACTACTATTTTACACAAAAAAGAAAAAAAAAATTTTAAACAATAACAAAAAAAAAAAGAAATGAATTCCTTTACGTTAATTGAATTTGTAAAAATTCTTTTAAGATATAATAAATTCAAAATAATTACTTTTTCATTTTTTTTTCTCAGTAAAAAAAAGGAAAATATTTTTGCTCAAATCAAATATATTTGTCAAACTATTATTTTAAAAGAAATTTCTTAAAATTTAAATCGTTAAAAGAAAAAAGAGGAGGAAAAAAAAAACGAAAAAAAAAAACATCTTATCTTACTCATCTAGGAGATTTTTAATTTTTAGGTTAAGAGAGGATGTCAAATGAAGAAATAAACTGCGCATCGATTGCGGGAAATATGAGAGGGTGTGAATTACAAATGGGACAAGGTGGGGAATACAGGTAGAAGAAGGAAATGAAATAAGTGGAAGGGAAAGAGAGAAAGGGATCAAATACATTTATTCATTCATCTATTCAATTTAAACAGAATTATCCTTTCATCGTTAATAACCTTGAAATGATATAGAGAGAACGGTATTTCATGATTTTCATAAAGAATTCAATTGAATTAATTTATTTATAGGTATACATGATATAATTATGTACTCGTTGAAAATTTCTAGAAGAATTTTACAAAACATGAAAATTTTGCAATTTTTATTCAGAATCAATTTACAATATTATCAATATCTTTTTCAAATTTTTACTTTTATTTTCATCCTATAATAGAATTTCACCTAAATTTTGAATTCACAAAAAAAAATGTTACATTTTAGCATGTAACAAAGATTAAAGTAACATTTGAAAATTTTGAAAATCAAAAAAAATTAAAATTCAAAATAATTTAATCAATATTTGATAGATTTATTTATTTTTTCTTGTAATTATAAAAATTCTCACATTTTCATCTACATTTGAATACTCAGATCAGTATACGTCATAAATTTCCTCATTTTAAACTCTTATATTATTAAATTATTTCAGTTGATAACGAATTAAAGCATACCCGTAATGAAATTTGATCACATGTTTCTGCATTGAAATCTTTGGTGACAATTGCGCTCGCTATAGCTGGTGTATTTATAGGAGTTTCTTCGGCTGCTAGAAAACGATTTCCATGACTATCAATCTGAAATTGAAAATAAAAATATACGATAATTCAAATAAAAGAAAAAAAAAAAGACATTAATTAGTCAATCATTATGCGCAATATCAAACTTCAAAAATGCACCATTCAACATTCATTTAATTCATTTGATTGAAAATTTCATTTGTATTATTAATTCAGTGAGTAAAGTTATCGAAATTTAAATTAGATATGTGTTATTAATCAGAAATAAAAATATTGAAGTAAAATATAATATCGAAAATATCGCAAAACAACAATGGGAAAGAAGAGATCTATGTAAACAAAAAGATTTTTCTTTTTTTTTTTTGTGCCTATTATGTTATGTTGTCATCTAATTTTTACGGTATTTTTATAATTGTGAATTATCAGCGAATAAAAGAAAAAAAAAACGACATTAATTAATCAATCATTATGTGCAAATTTGAAAAAAAAAATAAGAAAATTAAACAAACTTCTAAAAATTTCAAAATAGAATAGCAACGCATTAAATTGCCAGTAATATGTGACAATCGTTGCAAATAAATATGAATATGTCCTTGGGCACTTTCTGGATCACTTTGTTTCAATTCCAATGCTAATTCCTTCAATTGACTCTGTGAACGATCGAACACACAACGATGTAATTGCTGATCGAACTCACATAACTGATCAATGCTACGATTAATATGCCTGAAATGTTTGCTCATTTGGTCCTCTTTTTTTTTTCTTCTCCCTTTACAAATTTAAAAAAAAAAAAAATTTTTTTCTTAACGTATCAATTTCATTTTTTTGCAACAAAGTCGAAATTTAACAAAAATGAAATAGTTTGAAACTAATCGAGAATAAATAACAAAAGGGAGAGAGAGAGAGAGAGAGAGAGAGGGGAGAAAGGATATCTAAGCTGATTATATTTCACCCAAAGAAAAATAAACCGGAGGTATTAGGATAAAAGATAAAGATTACAACAATCATTGCCAGAAGATATGAAATATTTTATAGCTTATTGCAAAAAAAACAAAAAAGAAAACTCAAAAATAAAATAATTTTAATAAATAATTCACAATGAGAAAAAATATTTGTACTAATTTTAAGAAAAAAAAAAGATATGTTAT